CCTCCTCCTCTTCAACCTTCCTGTGCTCGACCACCTCCCTCCACTTTCTTCTTTCGCCCAATCTACACCTCACTTCTCTCTCTCCCATCTCCTCCCTCCCGGTCTCCCGATCTACACCTTCGCCTGACCTCCTTCCTTCCCAGACCTTCTCCCTTCCCTTGCTTCCTCCACAACCTCCACCTGATCTACTGCCTTCATTTCTCCCTCCACCCCAATTCCTGGCTCCCTCCGACCGGCCTCACTAATTTCGTAACACCCTAAAAAACGCGTAAACTCGGTCCCTCATCGAATCGCCCCCCAAAACCACCGGGCGAGGCCAGGATTTCCCGGCCATTTTTTTGGGGGGTACATAGGAAATGGATCTCGCTTTTTTCCTTTTTCGATAGACATGAACGCGCTGCATTTTTGTTTTACTGCATATCTTTTCAAGATCTCAACGAGGGGGCACGCGCGCAAGAAAGAGAGGAATAGGGAGAGAGGGAGAGCGACGGGACAGACAGACATATTTCACCTCGCACTCTCCCCCACATCCTCCTCAAGCTCTTCCTTCCCCTACACGCTCTTCTTTACTTGCACCTCCTCCTTTGTTCGTCTCCTCCACCACCCAAGGTTCGTCTCCCGCCCCAAGCTCTTCCTCACCAATCATCAAACTGAGCCGCACCAGGTATTTCAAAAGATCGAGGATAGATGTTTCGTTCCTCAATTCTCTCTCTTCCTCCCGCATTCCCTACGCCCGCCACAGCGTGTGAGTCCTCTCTCTCTCTCTCTCTCTCTCTCTCGTGCGCGCGCGCGCGCAGCCGCCCTTTTTCAGATCGCCAACGAAATCCGCACCCTACATCGGGCACAAAGAAGGGGGGAAGGAGGGAGGGAGGGAGGGAGGGCAAGAAGGTGAGTTAAAAAACGAGAGAGAGGAGGAGGGAGAGAGGGCGGGAATCGGGAGGGAAGAAGGAGGGAGGTGGGGCGCGGGAGAAGCGCCGAGGCAGGACTGGAGGGACGGAAAAGGATAGGCCGCGGGAGGAGGGAGGTGATGCTGTCTCTGATGCCTCGCACGCGCGCAAGCAAGCATGTGCGCGGCCGCCCATTTTCAGATCACCAAACGAAATGGAGTGTTTACGTAGATTGGGGATAGAACGAACAACGAAATCCACACTCTGGGTCGGGCACAAAGAACGGGGGAGGAGACAGGACCAGGAGGGGGGGAAACGAGGGAGAAAGGAGGGAGGGAGTGGCGCCGAGGCAGGACTGGAGGGTGGAAGGAGGATAGGCTGACGGAAGAAGGTGATGCTGCCTCTGGTGCCTCTATCTCTCGCGCGTGCGAGCGCGAGCATGTGCGCGGTCGCCCTTTTTCAGATCGCCAAACGAAATGTGGTGTTTACGTAAACTGGGAATAAAACGAACAACGAAATCCACAC